ATAAGTTGAGACATTCCCTGTCCAGCCCGGTCTGTTATCAGAAGTTAAGAGTTTTTCCCCATCTGGCCGGATTAGTCCTTGGGTGGGTGACCGACGAGCATAAATTGAAAAAAAGAAATCACGCGTTTTGGTCCTTTCTGTCATAACTTTTGTCAGTGGTTGGTGTGTTGCCTAACTGGCTTTTATCAAGTTAATGGAGATGATGATGATGATGAACTACAGAATCAATAAGTCTTCCGAAAATACAAACAGCTTTTATTCATGGGTGTGCTATAATAGACCATTTCTGCCGTTCAAGAAACTTTCATGCAAAACGGCCTTTCCTGAGAATACAAAATCATTTTCAGATCAATGGCTTCGCATTTAGCCTTGAGGCTTGGGCAACTCGGAAATCGCCTATATGGCCCTTCTACTCAAAGACCTGACTCGCACCCAAGCATTTCTTCGGATTTTACATACATTACATACATACATTTTATTTCATTGTGTTTTGATGTAAAAGTACAATAACATGCCCGCGGGTAGCTAACCTGATCTAGGCGGGTCATGTTTTCAGGAAATAAATACAATTAAATACAGCTAAAAGTAACAAGAGAACTAAACGAAACTAAAATTGACAACAATGACTAGAGACTACTGATAAACTAATGGTATTACTTATAATAAATGACAACAGTTATGACCAGAGACTACTAATACACCAAACGATATTAATGATTACATATCAACTAAGAGGAAAATAAATTCAAGTTAACTTTTTGAACGATTTCTGGGAGATCAATATAACAGTCTTCTGAAGCTAGGATCTCAAAAAGTGTTTGTTTTATTTTCCTCTTATTAAAAAAAAAAGGCATTTTTGAAAGTTTTCTTAAAGATACAGGCATTTCATTCCATATTTTTGTTCCTATTCTAGAAAATGAATTAACTTGAATTGAGAGTCTGGAACTTTGTGTGTAAAAGTTATTAGAGGCAGAGGATCGAGTAATATAAGAATGAATATCAGAAATATCTTGAAAGAGATCTTGAGTGTTTCTAGGAGTATTAATTAGCTGCAAGGATCCTCCGATCGAGCTTCAGGGCCTTCACGCAGTCTTAACTTAGTTAAGTCGTCAATCGACCTCAGACGAATCGTCATAGGAGAATCCGTTTTGCGTAGGAAGATTGCTGCGCCTTTTGCGGATTTTCGGTTTTAGCAGAGCATCGCAGGGGGTCATGGGAATTTTTGTTTTGCAGAGAAAACTTCAAAAACGCAAAGGCACATGGGGAGGCAAAATGTTTGAAACTAAAGTTTTGATAAAATCTTAAGGACACCTTGCTTGCCAGTTAATTATTAAAGCCTCGTTGAATGTGTAACGGAGAGCACTAGGTCAGTTTTAAAACGTCCCGTCCTGTGATTTCATCAGATTTGTAGGTCATTTTAAGGTAGTATTTTGGTGAGTTTACTTAGACACAAAATCCTGAAATCTGACAGGCCAGATAACGGCATCATCAGTATCATATCCCAAATAAAGAAGTGCCCACTTTTCAGCTTTTCGACTACTTATGTTTGATCCTAATTTTTAGTTTTGACATAGTTCTATACAAAGTGGAATCGAAATTAACAAAACACTCATCAAATCCGACACTACCAGTGCTAATGCAAAACCTCGTTCGATGCAGTCAAAGCAGTACATTAATGAGACTATAGGCACAGTCCAACCAAGACGATAAACCACTGCCCCAATGGGTAAGGACTCGTTACCATCACCGCCTCCCAGGACATGAAGCCAGCCTATCACAGCTGTGGACATAAAATAAACGGCGATCAATCCTTGGGCATAGCCTTTAAATGCGTCTAGACTGAGAGCGTCGCGTGCAAATTCGGGTTTCGCCAACAGGATGAGTGAGACCACTAGCTGGAAGTAACCAATTCCTTGCGTCATAGTTGAGGACCATTTCTGCGAGGGCTTCTGAAAGGGATGTACCAAACAAGCTATCTCGTCAAAACACCTTTTCAGGGATGCCCCAGGGGTGCTGCGTGCCCAAATAATGTACGTTGCTACGGCCAACGCGGGATCGAGAAACGCGAACGCTGCCAGCATGGTAATTGGAATCAGTGATTGATAATAAAACCAAACTAAAGCGGCCGGGACGAAAAACAGCCTTTCTGGTACGGTTCCTAAAATTGTGCCGTTGCCGGTTACCAAAGGGGAGGACCTCGCTGAGACGATGTACAAGAAGCCGATGACAGTTACCAGTGCACAGACCAAGCGCCCGTACTCATAGTCACGCCCGCTTAATTTCATGTTAAACAGAGCAAAGTTGACGATCTGTGGGAAGACCAGGTTGAGTGCGCCGAAGGAAAGGTAAGCAATGAAGGCAGACCAGGCTGTAAATGTCTGGAGAATGGTGAATTGTTTTCTTGGAGGAATGGAAAGCATCATACGAAACCAATTTGCTTTTGCCAAGCCATCAGAACTAACCTGCGAGAAATAGAACTGTCAAGAAGAGCTGAACACGT